AGCAGCGCTGTCCACGGGCTGTTCCTCGGGTTACCGCCGCCTCTCCCCCTCTCTCGGAGCCTCAGTGTGCCACGTCCAGGAGCTGCCCTGGCCCCTGGACAGCGCTGCAGCGGTGTGGTTCCGGCGGGACCGGAGCTCATAGCCCCGCCCCCTTACCACGCGGCTCTAACTCAGTGGGAGGAGCTCAGGCCCTGCTGGAGCCACGCCGCTGCAGCGCTGTCCAGGGCCACTCCTGACACGGCGTGCTGAGGTGCTGGGGGATGGGGGAAAGGCGGAGGTGGGGCTGGGGGCCCCTGTGGGGCCCAGGGCCTGGGGCAAATTGCCCCATTTGCCCCCCCCTCTGGGCAGCCCTGAGCAGTGCTGCTGCCAAGTCACATGTGCTTTTTGGAGTGCTCATTGCATTGGGAGATGGTCACTACAATTTTAAGCCAGCTGTTTTTGTGTGATGCAGATACTGTCTACGGTGGACCAGGAGCTGTGTTATCCAAACCAGTTTTAGCCACTCTTTAAAAATGGCTTATACCTGCCATGGCCTTGTCCACAATAACCAGCCAAAACAGGTTAAATCCAAGGCAGCCTGAACCCATTTAATACCATGGTTAAGGGCTGGATCTGAGTTCCCTTGATGTCAGTGGGAAGGTGGATTGATTTCATGGGGAGTTAGATCAGACTTAAAACTTAGTTAAGTAACAGGATTCTCGACTCAGAGCACTTAGGTCCTGAAGAGGAGGGGGAATGATATTCTGTGGCACTGTTACAATCTGCACTGCTTGTAAACAAATGTGGGATTTCTCTCTCTCCTTTCCACTAAGGTACTGCTTGTTCCTTTACCTCGGCAGCTGGATGTGTAACAGGCTGGCGCAGTAGTTATTGTATCTCAGCTGCTGCTCTTGTCTTGCCATTAATGGGGCTATCCCTTTAGCTCATATGGTAGGGGTCTTTGTCGCTCCCTACTGATGACCACATCTTGCCTGTGTGCGTGTGTGTGTGTGTGTGTGTATATGTGTGTGTGTGCAGCCACAAGTTGTTCCTTCGCAACCTACTCCAGTTCTGTTGCTTCAATTCTTCAGCAAGCGATACTCCTGCCTTGTCATTTTATCTGCTCTATGCCTCCCACCTCGGAACACAATGGCTAGCTCTGAAACTCACTGGATTTGTTTTTAAATGTCATTTTAGTTTCTAGCTCTTGATGCCGTGAGCATCGTCCTGAAGCAACTGCAGCCCACAGAGAAGGAGCTTCTACCATTCAACGCCTGCCTGAGCTGGCTGAAAAGGATCAAGTTCATTAAGCACACTGTGGAGCTGATCACATCGGACAACTACCTGATGAGACTTTACCGTAACAAAGGGGAATTATTGAACAGCGTATTGTAAGTGTTACCCCTCCCCCCAAAAAACTGTGTATTAAAGAATATAAACATTTTTAAAAGGTGTAACAGTCAAAACTTTTCTGTGAAAACTTTTTTCCCCAGACAGAAAGATGGGTTTTCCATTAAACAAATTTTTTTGCAGAAAGTGTCAGATTCCCTCCAAATTTTCTGAATTTATACCAAAAAACTTGAAAACTAAGAATTTCCCAGCAGTTTTCTGCCAGAAATAAAAAAAGTTTTGATTTTTTGCAATTTTTTTAACCTGTAACTCTTCTGCCAGTCAGAGTTGGCAGTAACAAGAGCCAGGTTCAGTATCTAGGGGTTCCTTTTCAACAATACAACACAAAATCAGCTCAAGCCCCAACCCAGTGACATGGGACAATTACACACCACCTCTGGGCGCCTCTAAGAGGCAATACTTCCCCTCTCGCAAGCACAGAGTCTGAGTTTAGCAAAAAACATTTAATAAACAGGGGGAAATAATGTAGCATTATTTTGGGGAAACACCACAAACAGGACTCATAAACATAACCCATGAGCAAAAGACCCACACCCTAGTAAGCTGGGCAGTGTTCTTTTCCCCTCAGGCTCTGAAGTCCAGCAACCCAAAAGTCCCGTTCTCTGCACCTCACTCACAGCTGCTGTCCTTGCATCGTGCAGACCCAGAGTTCAGAGGTGCATCTGCAGAGTTCACCTCCCAGCCTAGTCAGAAGGCGGGGGCAGGGTAAGGAGGCACCTTACACGATCCGCTGCTCGGGCACTTGCTCACCGCACCAACAACCAATTGCTGTGCCTCTCCACTAGCTGCCCTGCTGGCTGTGCCTCTCCACCAGCTGCCCTGCTGGCCACACCAAGATGTCCTCAGGGCCCCCCCCTTATACACAGCTCTCAGTGATTTCAGCTGTTAGTGGAGGAGCCTCTCTGCTGGTGCACACTGGACAGTCTATTGCATCAGAGATACTGTCCCAAAGCAGGTCTAATACTTAGACCTAGGTATCAGTGGTTGCAGCTCTGGGCCCAGTAACAAGACTATCAAATGAGTCTAAATTAGCTCTGTTATTACACAGTGGAGAGAGGAAGGGACAAATGATGTCTAGGGCCCTTAGGCAAGGTGGCTGGTTTTGTCCAAAGATGTGGGGAAGAATTTTTCCCAGCAGACAAGGTGCAGCTACTCGCAGTGAGGCAATTCTGTCTCTTTTTCAGACACCAATGGAATTGCACCAACATCGTCTACCTGCTCATCGATCACCTGCTACACGATGAAACCACTATAGATGAGAAGCTGCTAAAGCTCGTTGTGAAGCAGTTTGTCTTCCTCTGGCAAGTAGGTGTATAAAATAGCGCCCCACTGCCCCTTTGAAACCGCATGGAATGAGAAGCTACAGCCCCTAGGACCCAGCTGAGATAGGGAGGGGAACGGCTGAAAGAAATTTTTCATCCAAAACTTTTTCTGGAGAAAAATGCAGATTTGGAAATACCAAAATGCTTCATGTCAGTTTATCCAAATTATTTCAGGGGAAAAAAAATCAAAACATTTCAATTTTTTGGTTTCCATTTCAAAATTTCCTTTAATTTTACTTTAATATAATTAAAGTGGTTGAAATCAAAACAAAATATTTCAGCTTTCTCCAAAATGTTTTGTTCGTTACTAAACAAATTTGACACAAAGCTCATTTCCCCCCTCCCAATTTTTTCAGAATTGCCAGCAAACCGAAAAATCCATTATTCACCCAGCTCTGAATAATCCATTATTCACCCATCAGTTGAGGATTCACCTAACTCTGTCCTTCACCACATGGGACGTGGTGTCCCTACAAGGGTTCAGAAGGTAGCCTGCAGGTGGCCCAACCTGCATTGACCCTGGACAGTTCCCCCACTTACCATCCCTAGCTCCTGTGAAGTGACACTACATTCAGCCGTCTGCAGTGCTCACCCTAGAATTAGAGTCTTGCACAGGACAGAAAGTCTGTTTGGCATAGGATTTGGAAATTTGGCTTCATTCCAAATTGAAACAAAAGCTGAAAAATTCAAAATTTCCACATGTTTTGAATATGATTTTCAATATTTTTGGTATTAGATTACACAAAATATCATACTGGTGTTAAAGTGTAAAATATAATTTCCAGGTTTCAAGGTTTTGGTTTTCTGACAGATTTTTTTTGCAGGAACACAGACAACATCCATTAAAGTTTTTGTTCAGTAAATAACCCAGTTTTCTATCAACAACACGTTTTGACCAGCCATCCTCAGCTGGTGAGCCCAGTGATGGATATGTGTGCGTAACATTGGGCACCCAAGTTTGCAAAGTTTGGCCCCAGATCTCTTTGAAAACTTTTGCAACCTTAATTCAGCCCCGATGCGTCTGCATTATGATATAGTCTTTAATTACATGGTCATGTACTATGGGTTCTGTCAGACTCCTGCCTCATTCAGTGCACAGGATGAACAGTGAATGAGGGAGAGTATTTCAGGCTCTGGGCTAGGACTTAGGAGACCTAAGATCTAGTCCCCAGACTTCCTATGTGATGTTGTACAAGACTAAAGGGGTAGAGTTAAGGTTGAATGGACAACCTGGATTCTGGCATATCCTAACTTTTGAGTGGTTGCTTTTGCTAATGTAACTTTTTAAACACTTCTTGTGTCACTTAGAATGTAATGACATTCACTTGCTTTATTTTCTGTAGTTACTGTATGATATTGAAGATCACAAACCAGCGAAGATTTTTGAAGTTGTAACAAAAGTGCTGACGAGATGCACCAACAATGCTGCTACCGTCTATCTTGTGTAAGTTGAGCAAACAAGCAAAAAGACCATTGTGGGTAAATGGCATCTTTAGCAGGCAATGTGTCTATTAATTACACTTGCAAGTTAACAAAAATATTGTCAGGGATTCTCAACCTTTTTCTTTCTGAGACCCCCCCCAACATGCTATAAAATTCCACGGCCCACCTGTGCCACAACAACTGGTTTTCTGCATATAAAAGACAGGGCCAACATTAGGGGGTAGCAAGCAGAGCACTTGCCTGGAGCTCCATACCACAGGTCTCCTTGCGAAGCCAAGCTGCTCAGGCTTTGGCTTCAGCCCTAGGTGGCAGGGATCAGGGTCCCAGGCTCCAGCCCAATGTGGTGGGGCTTCAGCTTTCTGTCCTGAGCATCAGCGAGTCTAATGCTGCCCCTGCTTGGAGAGGACCCCCTGAAACCTGCTTGCAGCCTCCCAAGTACCATGGCATGCCTAACTCAGCATTCAGTGCTGTACCCACACATACACAAAACATTTTGCATTATGAACCACGGGTGTGAACGATTCCTCCTCTCGTCAGTGCCCCCTTGTGGCTGGGCACCTTCACACCAGGCTTATTTTCCCACTTTTCTCAGGCCCCTCACAACTCCCCAACAGGCTCTCTTGCCTCAAAAATACCCCTTCTTGGGGCCAATTTATTACAAAAAACTAATGCAAAGAATCCAGAACAAGAGTCCCAAAACATTGTCCATTTATAACCCACAGCACAAATAGTCCTTAAAATCCCATGACAGCACCAATGTAGCACATACCACTCTCTGGCATCTTCCACCACACCACTGCTCTTTGTCGGTCCTCTCCTGTCTTTCTCCCAGGAAAACCACCCCAGCCCTTCCAGCTGGAGTGCAACCCTATTCTTCCCAGTGGCAATGCCCAGCCCCACTCCCCCAGCCTCTCTTCTGGGCGATCGTCCTCACCAGGGCACATCCATCACTCCTCCTTGCCGTCAACCCTTCCTAGCCCTGGCTCTCTGGCTTGGGGAGGTCAGCCAGCGAACCCTTCCACTGCGCCTCTGCCTTCAGCCTTTCCCCAGGAACCTCCTACAGCCTCCTTCAGGGACTTCCTCCCTCTCTGATTTTCCCTGATCTTATATAGCCCCAGGTACTGCTCTGCCTTTTAATTGGCCAAATTGGAAGTACCTGTTCTGGCAGAGGGGAGCAGGACTTGTTTCATTTAAAGGAGTCAGCCACCCTGTGCAATCAGACTTCTGTAGATTGCCATGGAGCTTGGGCCCAGCTATGCAAGGCTTTATTATTTATTTACTCTATAAGGCACAAGGCAGCAGAGAATCAGATCCTGTGAATTGCATCTTGCTCTCGTGGTGTCTTTCAGGAAGGGCGTGAACAAATGCAAAAGCTGCCAGAACGAGATCACTGACCCGGCTGAGCTGCCCTGCGGTCACATTTTCTGCACTCAGTGCATCTGGGAGTGGAACATCCGGCAGTGCAAGATCTGCAAGGAGAGCGTCCCCGAGGATTACGTGCCCACCGCCTCCCCGATCACCAGGTATCGCACAGTCGCCTGACTCTGTGATTTGGGACACTTGTTTAGCGGTAATATTCCCACTAACCTCAGTTACTGACAGCGTGGCCAGAATAATTGCTTTTCTTCCACACCCCTCCACTACATTTCTGGGAGTTCTTAGAAAAACGGGCCGCTCCCTCTCCCAGACTGTTACTGGACATAGCTCCTTGTTCTGCTGAAGGATTTGCCAGGATAGGTCTGTCCGTGAGCAATGGCTTTAATGGGACTCTGCATCCAGGGTCTGCACACACTGATCCCTTTGCAGGACTGGTGCCCTGGGATTGTAAATATCTGAAGTTGCAGATTATAAAGGGGGGCGTTCAGTGCTGCTTCCAGCTCTGGCCCCTTTGTAATGCTCCAGTGGCCCAAACTGGACCAAAAGCAGGTGCATCTCCCCAGCTGGGGATTCCCCCAACACTGGGGAGTCCCCTGGTGGCATAGAGCTGATGTAGAGTAGCATTTTCAAATATGCCTATGGGATTTAGGAACCCAAGTCCCATTAAAAATAATGTTTTGGAAAATGGTATCTGTGGGTTCTGTGCCAAGCCTGACCTTGCAACTGGTGCAGAGGCCATGGATGGGGGGCAGGCGGCTGGCTGCAGAACATCCAGCTCTTAGAGTCATAGCCAGGCCTAACTATGCTGGAGACCGAAAGGTCACTAGCCAGAAAGCTGCAAATGACCCCTTTGTACTCCTCAGCTTACCTTCACCCAGTGATTATAGCACGCATTGGAGGACTGAGCCCCAGGCTCCAGTGTCAGGGGTCAGCTTTTTCTGATTTGGGGTAATTATTTTTAGATACATTTTTAGGAGCCATAAATGTTTTTTTAAGCGTTTTTCTAGAATTGACATTATGGCGGCTGTCACCAGGTGGCGCTGTTACACACACTGCTTTTTCACAGCATGCCAGCAAGTTTCAATTCTAGGGAAGATAATGAGAGTTGTGTGAGCAGCAGGAGAGTTTGCTGTCTGCCTTGGGCTTTCCTTTAGAGCGGAGTGTCTCCCTGGGACCTGGTGATGGGCTTTAGGCTGACATTCCTGGGAGAAAAAATTCCCTGCAGAGTGACCATCTCATTCCAGGACTGGGGTCTATAGTGTAAATTAGCAAGTTACAGGTAGAGCCTACCCAGACTTTTTTTTTTTTCAGAAATGAGAAATAGAATCTGGAAACATTAACTCCCGGTGAATAAAGTTGTTTTGCCAGAATGTGGAATAATTCATATCGGGCAAAATTATTATTGACTTTACGGGACCAAGTCTACCCTCGGTACACAAACCAAGTCTTCTTAACTTTAGCAGGAGTTGTGGAGCTATGTGCATGTTTCAGCACAGAGAGATTTGTAGATTCATAGATTTTTAAGGCCAGAA